ATTTACAGACGTAAAAGCCAACAATAAAAAACAGGAGAATTTGATCTTAAAATAACCTAACAGGAAAGTATAATTGATAGTAATATTAAAAAAAGAACTACACTGGACCTAAAAAGGAGCTCTAAACACTGTGCCAGTTGTAAGATCTACTTAAAAAAAAGTAACAGAGAAAGAGATACCAACAGTGTCCTGGAAAAATAAGCTGACATATTCCTACAATCTCTAGCCACATCTGTGGCATCTTAACCTGTAAAGAATACAGAAAGCCCACCAAAGAGTTAACTCAGGAACCACTGGCCTGCACCTTCAGATGCCTTCTGTGCCCACAAAGCATTCTGGGTTTGATATAACAAAAGAGAAGAAGGGGGGAAGGAGAAAAGGTGGCAGGGAAGGACAGGGAGAGGGAAAGACAGATCTTCATTCATTTCTCCTTATGATTAAGGAAGATAAAGTCTCTCAGGGGAGAAAATGACACAGCGAGAGACCCCCACAGGGACAAAGGACAAACTCTTGGCCATTAATTTGTTTCTTATTAAAAGCATGATTTGTGTTTTCTTCTGAGGCAGTGAGAAACTTAAAAGCTGTTTTTGTTCAAACAAAAAAATACAAAACAATGAATCTTCACTTGGCCCTGTAGATGCCTAATGGATGAGGGAACAGAACAAAGCTGTATCTTCATTTTTTCTGTCTCCTTTCTACCTTAGAACTTTGGGTTCAGTCTTGCTCTGGTCTGCATATAGGCATGTTAATCATTCAGGGAATGACTGCCTAAAAAGTCACAATACAAGGTTTAGGTTTAACCCTAAAGTTATAAAACTTATCCATTCTCCTTTAAGACTGAGACCAAGACAAAAGATTTATTACCAATGAGCGCCCAGAAGTCTTCTGTTATTGACCTAAACCTAAAGTAACCTTGGATTCCAGCAAAGCCTCAACAAAACTGAGACTGCTCCAAGCAGAAACAATCATCTCATGGACACAGGATTAAGTGTTAAGGACTTCTGGAGCCAACTTTCAAACTCAGAACTGACATAATGATCAACTAGAGCCTAGCCTAGTGATGGTGAACCTTTTGGAGACCAAGTGCCCAAACTGCAACCCAAAACCCACTTATTTATTGCAAAGTGCCAACACTGCAATTAAACCTGCAATCAAACCTGAATAGTTTAGAAAAAACAACTCATACATTAACATCTTTTGTCTTAAAAGAAAAATACAGTAACATTCATGCCAGAGGTTCACCACCTCTAGTTTAGCCCATCCATACTCCTTTAAGGTTCTCCTCTTCCTTTTGTTGAGGGGCCAGTAAGAGGTTCTACAGAGCTGGGCCCTCTTTAGCTCCTCTAGCTGAGCTCCCTTCCCCATTTTCTCTTACTTTATAACTCCATCTAATAAATCACTCTATGCCTCAAAAATGAGAGATCTCATTAATAAACTAATAATCTCCCTATAGAACTTCTAAAAGAATAAAACAAATCCAATATCAATTAAAAAGAGGAAGAATGAAACAAAGAACAAAATAGCAAAGCTATAGAGAATTCATGAAACCAAACTTTGTTATTTAAAAAGATTGACAAAATTGACAAACTTTTATTAGCCAGATTACTAGGAAAAGAAAGAAAACTTAAATTACTAAAGTCAGGTATAACAGCGGGACATTACTATCAGTTTTACATAACTATTTCTAGAGGAGAGTATTATGGACATATACAGTATATACCAAACAATTACCCTAGATGAAACAGACAAATTCCTAGAAATAAACTACTAAATCTGACTCCAGAAGAAACAGGAAATCTAAACAAGCTTATAAGAAGTAAAGAGATTTTTGATTTAATCAAAATAAACCCCAAGAAAAGCCCAGAACAGATAGCTTCACAGTTGAATTCTACTAACTTTTAAAAAGATTTAATACCAATCCTTCTAAAACTCTTCTAATAAATAAAGGAAAAAACACTTCCAAATACACTGTCAGAATTACCCTGATATCAAAGCCAGATGAAATCACAAGAAAACTTAGAGACCAAACCTTTTATAAATACAGATGCAAAATTTCTCAACAAAATACCAGTAAACCAAATCCATCTCTATGCTGAAACAATCACACATCATGAGCAAGTGGGATCTGCCCAGAAATGCAAGGCTGGTTCAACATATGCAAATCAATCAATGGAAACATACCACTGAAGGGGAAAAAAAGTACATCAACAGTTCAACAGGTGCAGGAAAAACATTTAACAAATTCCAACACCCTTTCATTACACAGACAACAAAGCAGGAAAAAGGAACTTCAGCAACCTGAGAAAGGCTCTCTATGAAAAATCCTTAAATATCTTATGTACTAGAGAAATACTGAAAGTTTTCCCCCTAGGATGAGGGAAGAAATCAAAATCCAGTCTCACGTCTTTGCAACATTATAGTACTGCAAGTTCTACCTAAGGCAACTGAAAAATAAACAGTAACAAAAGGCATCCAGATTTGAAATGAAGCAATCTATATTCACAGATGACATGATTTTATATCTATAATATACTAAAAATGCATAGTTATTAAAGCAATAAATGAATTTGGTAAAGTTGCAAATACAAGATCAACATACAATAATCAGCTATACTTCTGTATCTATATATACATCCATCTTTGTTTTAGCAACGAACAATGTAAAAATGAAGTCTAAAAACAATTACATTTACAAAAGCATCAAAAATAACACACAACCAAGAATAAACTTATCAAGGAGGTATAGGACTAATATAATGAAAATTTCAAAACAACGCTCCAATTAAAGACCTAAATAAATAGACAAACATCCTGTGTTACAAATCAGAATGTGTAATATTGCTATGAGGTAATATTGTATGTATCTATGCAATTGTTAAAATTTTTCAACTGCTTTTTTGCAGAAAGGAATAAACTGGTCCTAAAATTCATATAAAATTTCAAGAAACCTGTATAACCAACACAATCTTGAAAAAAAAAAAAAAACCTGTAGGACCTAAGACTTCCCAATTTTAGAGGTAAAAAGCTACACTAATCAAACAGTACAGTCATGGCAACAAAGGGAATAAAAATAAGTGTTATGAGTTTTTTTGCTGTACTGAAAATGTTCTGTAATTAGATAACGGTGATGTTTGCACAATATTGCTAATACTCTAGAGTGAATAGTATCCATGATCTGCCCAATATTCTCCCATTTTACTTAATAGAACCCTTAACCAAGTTTCTTACACAAATAACACTTCCCCATTTGATTCTTCCTGAACGTAAAACTCTTCATCTGAAGGATTCTTCTCAAGCACATTTTCAAGCTTACCTATGGAACTCATCATTGCTATGACAGGTATGGTTTCTCTCTTTACTGGCCACAGGTATACAACCAAGTGCGCCTTCTGTGGCTAAAAGATCTGGGGTCCAATAACATTTATTTTTAAAACTAACTTGAATAGTAGATTTTTCATATCCTCAACCTTCCAAAGACCCAATCTTCCTCTATCACTGCACTTTACACTTTATAATTTAACAGTATACATAACCTGTCTCAACTTCAAACCCATCATTTTTATTTAACACTTGCGTTCACCATCTACTCAAAATCTCATTAAGGAAATCAACATCTCTTCCACACTATTATTGGAGTCTTAGCCTTTTTGAACTTCCCTGGAGATGGAGGAGCTCCCAAGGTTCACTAGAACAATTAATGAGTTCTTACTCTGTGCCAGGCAGTGTATTAATTAAGATTTTTTAAATGTTCTATTTAATCTTCACAACAGCTCTAACTTTACAATAGCTCTAAGCCATTTTACCCCTTTCACAGATTAAAATTGAGGCCCCAAATTAACCAAAGCCATACAAGTGACACCTTAATGGCAGGGTCTGTAATTCTGTCACTTCTGACCAGGAGTTTTGTCCTCAGTTCTCCTCTCTGGCCTTTTCTCCATCTCTTTCACTCTCATTTCATCATCTTCTGCTCATTACTTCTTTATTTCACATGATATCCAGGACAATTTTGGTTTTTCCATAGCTTTACCTATATTCTGTATTAGTGACTCTCAACCCTTTAATAAACACAAAAATCTTTTGCTCGCTCTGGAGTTTATATTTTGAAAATAGTTTTTTCCCAACTGAAATTATAACATTGTACATGCATGCCCAAAGTCTACCTCCTCACACACCTCCAGGATCTGCTAACCTATTATGCGTAACCCATAACTGAGATCAATGAGTACAAAGTCTAGGAGGCTTTGTATTTCCCCTCCCCGTCTGTCTTCCTGACAAGTCTCCCGAGTTCCAACATCTCCAACCGTCTAATAAGCACAGTTTAATTAATAAACATAGTCCCATGACTGTCACTCCAGCTTCTTCAGCCTAAACCTGTTCAAAATAAAATTCTTGTTCCCCCTGTCAAGCCTGATCATTCCCTGTGTTTTCCATTTTGTCTAAGGTGTCAAAATCCACCCTCGTCTGTGCTGTATGATACTTGTTTGGAAAATGATTAATATCGACTGTGCTGTCCCCGAACTATAGTGCTAGGTCACAAATCAACCACTATACAATGCATGCCCATTATGACTAGGAGTAAAGTAATGCAAAATAGTACAAAAGATCACTCTCTTCTTCAGGGAGGTTACAAAAAAACAACCAAAAACAACTTTTGTGAGGCATTTTTCCACTCATAAAACAAAACGTAAACATTTCAAAACCTGTCCATGTACTTCTTATCACAAGCCCGTTGCCCTATTTTTACAGATTTAAAAAAGGACTTCTTGGGCTGGGGATTTAGCTCCGTGGTTCTGCCGCCTGCCTCGCAAGCGCAAGGTCCCGAATTCGATTCCCTGTACCAAAAAAATAAAAATAAAAAAGGATTTCTTTTTCCACTCTCTCATTGCTGAAATACACGTACACACACGGTAAGAACCACCAGGCTCCAGGGCAGGCCCGGGCCGCGCGCGCGGGATCTAGGGGCGCTCGGCGGCCCGGGCCCGCACGTCCGGACAGCGTACCTGGAGGGCCGTGGCAGGCAGCAACGATGCCCTGGTGGCAGGATGGCGGCCTCCTACGCTACTGCAGCCACCACGCTCGGCCAAACCCGAGCGGCTCGGACGCCTCAAGGCGAAAGCTTAGCGGCGGGCGGAAAGCGGGGCTCTGTGGAGCTCAAGGCTCCACGGCAGAGGAGGGGCGTGACGGAGCGGCCAGGGGGCGGGGAAAGACGGGGCGAAAACGGCCGGGGGAGAGGCAAGCCAGGCGGGGCGTGCGGGGCGTGCGGGCCAGCGCGAGGAGGGGCGCGCGGCGTACGAAGCACGAGGGGGTGTGGCGAGCGGCACGAGGGGTGGGCCAGCGGAGCGAGCGCGAGGGGCGTGCGTGCGCAGAGAGCGGACGGCGGGACGCTGCGCGCGCAGCTAGAAAAGGCAGGGCGCGCGTACCGGCGCCGCGGCCGCGTGACGAGTTTTCAAATCTTCAACCGCCGCTGTTTAGGTGGCTGTGCTTCTTCTTCCTCCGCTGCGCCTCCGAGCCGGATCCAGCCCCGGAAACTCGGCCCACGGAGCCTTTTCTCTACTGCGTGGCGGCCGTTCGGTCCACCGGCTCCGAGAAGCCTGGTTCCCGCGGCCGTGTGGCGCGGCTCCCGCCCGGACCCAGCATGTAGAGCCGGGCGGCTGCCATGAACTGCGGAGCCATGCGGATCCACGGCAAAGGGCCCTGCCAGGGTGAGCCCCTCCGCCGCGTCCCTTTAACCCTCCTCCGCCGCCCGCCGCGGCTCCGAGCTCCCCCGCAGCGGGTCTCGGCGTGCAGGGAGCGCCTCGGTCAGTCCTGGGGAGGCTGCGGCCCGCGGTCCAGAGGAAAGCCCGAAGACAAAGTCGGGTCCGCGCGTACCCTCCCGGGCTTTCGGCTGCGCCAGATTCCGTGGTTGTGGGTGGGGTTTTGGTATTAAAATTTATTTGCTTTCACTCATACGTTGAGGGAAAGTTTTTGAGACATCCATTGTTAGTTTCAACGTTATAAACAAAACAAACACAAATTTCATCATTTTATTTGGTAAAACACTTCAGCTTCTGAAGTCTTTCGTATATTTATGTAGCCACCAACTAAAAGACAGGTTGTGTTCCAAAAGTTTATAGCAGGTGATTGTATCTCAGAGGTTTTCAGTGCAAACAGTAAAATGATAATATAGTCCTTAATGGACCTTTAAGTTCTTAATAAAACTAGAGCAGTCACCAGCCCTAGAGAGGACCAAGTCGTTCTGAATAGGTTTGTGTTACTGAGTGTTTTAACATTTTAAGCACCAATTTTGAGTGTTCAGCACAATGCTAGATGCTCAATAAATAGTTGAGTAGATACCTCCATGGAGTTTACATCTAAAGAAAGTCTTCCAGGAAAGGTTATATAGTCGTGTGCCTTAATATATCCTGTGATTCAACTGTTAATTTCCGATAAAAAGTAGGGCATTTCGCTTTTATCGTAAGTGGCAATAATAAAATATATTTAAATGTTAATGACTTAAATTGGTGTGATTATAAGGATTTTTCCTTCCTGTGATATGATTATTGCATAATAGAATATTTTTAAAAATAAAAATTTTATGTGAGACGTGATGTAATTCTAAGCTTTTTAAAATACAGGTGGAATCCAAGTGAAAAATGAAAAGAACAGATCATCTTTGAAATCTCTTAAAAATAGTAGCAGATCAGAAAAATCCAAATATAAGCCACTCTGGGGAAAAGTATTTTATCTTGACTTACCTTCTGCTACCTTATCTGAAAAACTGCAAAAAGACATAAAGGACCTAGGAGGGGTAAGTGAAAATTATATACTGATCAAAAACTAAAAATTTGAAGGTAGTTCCTGATGTGTAATCATTTAAATTTTTCATTTTGGTATATTTGTAACCAACTATCTATTGGCACCAAGCTCAATTTTTCAGCTGTTTTTCATTAATGAAAAACCATTTGGAGACTGAGAATACCTGTTTGGCATGCCACAGGATTCAATCCCAAAGCAAAAGAAAAGGATAAGAAACCCATTTGTTTTAACCTTCTAACCCATTTTGTAGCCTGACCAAAAAAAGTTATTACAGAAAACCTGTTCAACCCACAGAGTTAAGATTGGTGTTGAAGGCTAGGTGTGGTGGCACACACCTGTAGTCTCAGCTCTCTTGGGAGGCTGAGGCAGGAGGATCTCTGCGAGTTTGAGGCCAGCCTGGGCTACATCGTGAGTCAAGGCCTGTCTGAACTACATAGTGAAACCCTGTCTCAAAAAAGAAAAAATCAGTGTTGAGTTTAATTTACACATATCTTAAGAGATACTCTCAACAGAGTGAATATCAATGTCATTAAAGGAACAGATTTCTGGATTAAGAATTAAATCTTTCCTACATTATGTAATTAGGAAACTAACAAACAGGCAAATCCATCTTTGAAAAGTTATTTTACTTTTTTGCTGTTCATTTTGTTAAACTAAAATATTGTCATATATTGTAATAGTCTCATTTATCACAGTGATCATATGCATTTCTAAAGGTCATGTTTAAAGGCTTGCCGTTGTATTGACTGCCACCTAGCAAGTGTTCTAATTGTGAATGGCATTAGACATGAGTAAAGATCCACTTTGGAAATGAAGTTCTTGAGTCCAGAAAAGTTGACTGGCCCAATCAGTACTGTTAGCCTCCTAATTCCTAGAGTAATACAGCATATCCCAATTCTGTTCTTCTAGCAATCACAGGCTGCAAAATAGCTGTTGAATAGTTTCACAGCTTTCTCACAATGATAATCCATTCACCCTTGGTCTAATGGTCTAAATCAGTGTTACTTAGATTTGTTTTTAGCATTATAACCCTTCAGAAAAAGTCATATTCAGTGTCCAAAACAGCAATACAGTGACGAGAGGAGCAGCCACTTCCCCTGGCCTCTTCTCTCTCATCCCCACAGCAGTTCATGAGGGCCGGGGATTTAGCTCAGTGATTCAGCCGCCTGCCCCACAGAAGTTCATGAGGTACTTACAAGAAATTTTGAATTTCTTTTGCCATACATAATAATTAAGGAACCTTTTGGCTTTATAAACTTTAAATCTTTACCCTAAAATGGTTTGACATATTTTAGTGAGCATATTAATGGGATAGTTTCTAAATTTTCCCCCAAACCTATAGATTTTCTGTTAAATTTGATTGGTTAACTTTTTCCTTAATTTTAAAAAATTTATTGAATTCTGATTTTTCCCACCCACTAACTTTCCTTTATAAGTCAAGGATATTCATTCCCCAGATCTTAAATTTCTGTTTCCAGCGCCCTTAGCATTTCCATCAGTAAAAAGATTTTGTTACAGAGATTTCCTATGTGAACTAAAAAGGAACTTTAACTTCTAGATATAAATTTAAGAGTTTTAGGATTCAGTTTTAAGAAGTACTAATTTTCATAGATATGCCTTTAAAGGATTAAGCTTGTAAGTTTTAGTATTACTGAGACCCTCTATCCTTTATATTATTTATCTTGCTTCACATCAACATCTGCAGTACTTTTTGTTTAACTGACCACTTTGATATGTGCTCAAAAATTCATTGAATGTCTAAATTTTTTAAAAATTGTATTACAATAAAAGATTCATTGTCAATATTCCCTGTCAAGATATTCCCCCCTTCTAACACATATCTTGTCTGTTTTTTGAGATGGGGTCTTGCTGTATAATTCAGGCTGGCATTGAACTCACTATGTAGTCCAGCCTCAGATTCACAGCAGTCCTCCTGCCTTAGCTTCCTGGGTGCTGACAGACGTGAGCTACCACACCTGGCAATCCCATCATTCTTGTCACTTTCTGAAGCAGTTCTGTTAGTCCTCTTTTGTGAGTGTTTTTTCAAGGTGTGATCAAAACTATGCTGAATCCTGCTATCCAGGGCCATCCCATGGAAATGTAGGTCCGTAAAAACATGTGAGCCAGGGATTTAGCTCAGTGGTTCTGCCGCCTGCCTCACAAGTGCAAGGTCCCGAGTTCGATCTCCGGTACCAAAAAAAAAAAAACCCTTTGTGTCTTCGTGTAGATTATTCACTGGATCTGGAACCGTGTGGCTTCAGGCTTTTCTCCAAAGTCAGAATGACTATGAAAGTTAAATGTTTAGAAGCAGTTCAAAACAATAAAGCAGCCAGGGCAGTGTAACTAAAGACATACATGAAAGAGGACTTTCAGAGCTGCTTCAGAAAGTGGCAAGAACAGTGGGATAAGTAAGTGTGTTTGAAGTGATGGGGAGTATTTTAATAAGGATTAATGGCAAGGTGTCTTACTTTAATATATTTTTTAAATTTAAACACTGTATATTTTTATCACAGCTTATATATTAGTGAACGTATTAATTAATAACCAGTTAATTCCCCACTTGTCTGCATAGTATACTTCTGCCACATTCCACCACTGAGCACAGGCTTTTTTTTTTTTCTTGGTACCGGGGATTAAACTCGGGTCCTTGCGCTTGCACAGCAGGCAACGAAACCATTGAATTAAATCCCCAGCCCCAGCAGAGGCACGTTTTGACAAACATACTTAATAATGGCAAGAAAAATAGCTGATGCAAAACTATTTTGGAACCAATCACATTTAGGTCTATGTTTAAACAGTTTGGCTAAAATAAATCAATTGTAGAAGAGCAGAAATGTAAAAGTAAATGCTTTGCAGTATCATTAACTTGAGGATAGAATTAAATATTTGATATTCTCACTGTGACTTTGACTTAATCAGAAAGTAAGCTTGAAGGTTATGGAACGGCATACATTCAACAATTTTTGACAAATTGAAGACTGTGGTAAAACTAATTCAATTATTGCACAGTGGGTACAGTGTAATATCTTTTGGTAGATTTAAAAAATGAATCCTATGTCCATCCTATCCTCAAGTTTTAGGTAGAGATGTTGTGGGACAGTGAATGTGGTAAGGTAAATGAAGTTTCAAGAGAGATTACTTCTGAGGAATTGAATACATTGTACAGGCACTATTTAAACTCAGCTTTGAAGAATGATTAAGATTTGGGCATGTGGAAATTCATTCAAAAATTACTCCACCATTGTCACCTTTATGCCAGCACTGTTAATTTGCTGAGGACAAAAAGATAGGTATAGTTGTCCTCTAGGAATACTCAGTCTAGTGAGAGCATCAAATAGACAATTTGCAGTAAAGCCTTATGAATGC